CTGATAACAAAATGTGAATGTTTTCTCTGTTCTTTGGTTATTTTTGGTGTGTGCTGGTCACATTTGTCCAATCATCCTTCGGATTTTGCTGCAACCAATAAAATATTAAGTTTCAGTCTCACTCTTGTATCTCTTGCAGGGTAATATCAGAGTGTTCTGCAGAGTGCGTCCTCTGGTAGGTGGAGGCTTTCCCAAGCATATACAACTCGCCACAAGTGACAATAAAGCGATAACGCTGGCTAAAACCGAGGAGGTAAGAATGAGGACCGCTTAACGCATGTTTAAAAAAACTGTTGGCTGCAGAGGATTTGATTTCTGTGTGAGTTAACATGTGTAATTCAGTGTCAGTGTAGATGCGCTTAACAAAGAGGAAGCACAAACAACCAACTGAACTGAGTTTTTGTGCTTTTCAGTCTCACACGGGCAAAACTGCTGACACTCAGAAGAATTACAACTTCAGCTTCGACCGTGTGTTTGGTCCTCGGGCCTCCCAGCAGGAGGTGAATATCCCATTTTACTGTTTTTCATTTTGTGGTCCCCGCCTGTGCGTGGAGGAAATTCCTAAATTTGTCTTTATCTTCAGGTCTTTGAGGAGATCTCACTGCTGGTGCAGTCAGCACTGGACGGCTACAACGTCTGCTGCTTTGCCTACGGTCAGACCGGAAGTGGGAAGACGTACACCATGGAGGGGGACGAGTTTGACGAGACCAGAGGTGTCATTCCCAGAGCTGTGCAGCAGATCTTTAAAGCTGCAGGAAAACTGGGAGAACAAGGCTGGGAGGTTGGTTTGGTTTGTGTTTGAATGTCTGAAGAGAAGGTCAGTGGTAGGAATTTTACATTTGGTTTTACACGGTGGTAGAGCAGCAGCTTTTAAACTGCAGACTATCTGAGAGACTTGAGTAGTTAGTGTTACAGGTTGTTTGTCTGAGACCAGACTGCTTTTCTACCACAGTCGGCCATATTTCCTTAAGCGCCAAAGATGATTTTGAGCATACAGATATGAGTGGAGCTTTTATGATTAATCTGCCGCACTGTTAATGTTGTGCTTTTCTTTTATCCACAAAAGTCTCACTTTTTGCTTCTGCTCCTCAGCGTCAGAGGGATTTCACACTGCAGTCTGCTGTGTGCCCTCGCGGTGCTTTTATGAGGGAATGTGCTCATTTTAGTTTTTATTTCAGTTCACGTTCACAGCGAGCTTTGTTGAAATTTACAATGAGACCCTGAGGGACCTTCTGTACACCGGCAAGTCCAGCAAGAGACCTGAGCACGAGATCCGCAAGACAACCAGCAACGAAGT